TTATGCATATATTCTTATGGGTCTCAGGGCTCATCTCTTAATGCACATAGTTCCGTTTGACAGAAATACGTCCAATTATAAGTGGGAAAACGTGACGTGACTACTTTTCTTTAGGACCCATGCATTTTGACCTTCTTTCATTTTGGTAGATACAAACACATTTTAAATGTTTGTGCGATTTAAAAATTGAGAAGAGCATTTTAGGGCTCAGCTCTGACGGAAAAACTCTACTTCCTGAAGAAGATTGGTTCATCGAGTAGCTTGATACATTGATTCACTTGTGAAATTTTACTTGAAATCAAAGCGATTATTTCTTAGGTACCTACGAATTCCCCATCTGTCATTATCGTTTTTCTTGAAGTATCATTCAAGAAAAGTTTGGAATCTTAACCTCTCAACAATTTTGACACTCCTAACTAGTAGATCACTCGTTTTTTATGAAATTATATATTTTATTAAAAAAATAATTTCAATATATTAACGATTTGAAACTTTACTTTCTCGATCAATTTAAATCACAAATAAGCTCAAGCGGTCGAATTCAGACTAAAAAGTCAAATTAATCGTTTTTCAGGCTCCTACTAATTCCTCAATTGTTATTTTTGTCCTTTTTCTTAAAATTTAAAAACAAGTTTGGAAGACTGAAATTTCAACAATTTTGACACTTCCAACCATTAGACCTCTCGTTTTACAAAACAAATTATATACTTTAAATATGCTCAGAATTTCAATATTTTAACGAATTGGAACTCAAGTTTCTCAAAAAATTTGGCTCGTCTAGAAGCTGAAGAGATGAAATTCAAATTGGACGAAGAAATTGATACTTAATTCCAAATTTCAACAATTTTGACACTTTGAACCATTAGACCTCTCGTTCCTCAAAAAAAATCGGTGCCCATTCACTAAACGCCGGCCTAAGGCTAGATAAACGACACAAGAATACAAACAGAGCAAATGCGCGAGCACTGAGTACTTGGCTCGGCGAGCAAGAGCGAAGGGTAGGGATTCCGCGAGCGGATTTCCGGATGGGAGGACGACGCGAGCGCGGATCTCGTGGTGGTAGCGACGAGGGCCGACACCGAACTCTGGAGCCGACCGCGGTCTCGGACTCGGGCTGGGCCGCCGCGGCACCGGGAGCCCGGCCCGAAGAGCCCCGAACGCCGCCGACCACGCCGCGCCGCGACGCCAGCAACAAGTAGCATCCACCACGGACGGTTTCGGCTTCCCCGCATATGGGCTATCAACTGCTTCGTAAAGGCTCCTCATTTGTAAAGTCCAATGGATTAGATGTGGAGACTACAGAAGGACCACCGAATGAACTACAGAAGGACCACCGAATGAACTACAGAAGGACCACCGAATGAACTACAGAAGGACCACCTAGAGTATACCTGTATAGCGAGAGTATGGACAGATCGCTTCATGAAGGGCTTAGGGCCCAAAAGTGCAGCCACCCTTCTAACCAACTTCTAGCGCACAAAATTTCACTGCCAGTCTGCAGATTCCAATTCTAACCATGATGGCCAAGAATGTACAGAAATGAGCGTTCTTCCGCGAAATTGAGTAAATTTATGCAAAAACTGAGTCAAACACGTGCTTAATAAACGACGGTTCGTAACAATAGTATTAGTAAATCGTTCTGGATAATTGAAATTCATGGGTTGGCTGCATTTCTGGGCCCTAACTTTCTTCGCAGAAGCATCGGTGAAGGCCTGATGGATTTTCGGAGTTTCACATCTGTCTATACTCTCGCTATACAGGTACTCTAGGCTTCCCCGCATATGGGCTATCGACTGCTTCGTAAAGGCTCCTCATTTGTTAAGTCCAATGGATTAGATGTAAAGACTACAGAAGGACCACCGAATGAACTACAGAAGGACCACCGAATGAACCACAGAATAATTTTTCAAGTATACGCGAAGAGACTATCACTGGAAAAAAAACACATTGAATCTAGAGTCCGTCAGTGTATCCGTACACTGAAAAAAAAGTCGCTTGGATCTTGAGTCCAGACTCTTGAAAACATCGACAAGAAAAATTACTCTTGATTCAATCAGAATCCAGCTTAAATCGAGAACCAAGCCTCTTAATTTAAGCGGATTTCGTTTTGATTCGAGCAAAAATCCGATTGAATCAAGAGTATTTTTTCTTGTCAATGTTTTCAAGAGTCTGGACTCTAGATCCAATGTGTTTTTTTTCCAGTGTTAAAAGATCCGTTAAATCCGTCTTCAACACCAGAAAGTGAAGTATGGAACCGTACTTTTCTGAAATATCCGCAATTTAGAAGCTCTCCGGAGAGAAAAATTAGTGAAATTTCCCAACATTCTCCACATAAAAAGAAAATTTTTGAGGGAAATTTAGCAGCATTCACGTATAGTTAGGTCCAATTGCAAGAGAAACGACAATGACTTGTAAGCATTACATAGTTTTGCTCGTCAAAATGGACCACAATACGAAGTACAATAACTTTATCATTCAGACACATATATCTTAACCAGAATTTCACTTAGAACACGATTCTCGCATCAAAAATTACTGAAATCAACTCCTCACTAAGAAATAAACGTTTTTAGTCTAGATTGGCTGTAGGAGATTTTAATTGCCCGGCCACAAAAAACGCAATACTCTACGTGAATCAAATTGCGCCTTGCAACGGGTTTGACAAGCTTTTCAATCGAGCATTGTTCCTTTCTCAACCTTTATTGTTCGTAGTGTAGAAAATCGCTGCTTACTTTACTGGCCACGATTTTCGGAATCTGAGTAAGATACCAACACAAAAAGGTCAACGGAACGAAAGAGACACAAAACCACTGGATGGAAAGTTATGGAACCATAAGTGACTTGGTCGTTGAACATAGAGAGCAACATTGTTTAATATTGTTGGATATTTTTAATCATTCTCCCGAAAAATCAATTCTTTATCCGGGAAAATCGATTCAATCGGATCGATTTAATTGGGTTCGATTAATCGTGTAAACCGCTGTATTCCCTCGAAATCGAAAATTCCGATTTTTAACACTCGAATGTATTAAATCAGCACGTGAGACGATTCTTGAACCAAAATTTCAGCATGCCTCCTAGAAATTGCCATCCGAATTCTTTTTCAAATACCGAGAATTTTGAGCCTTCGTAATTTCCAATTTTTTAAAATCGATGTCTTTCATTGTCACGATCCAAATCGATGAAATTGGATACTCGAAGAAACTCAAATCGATTCGATTAATCGATTTTCCGAAAAAGTACCCAACACTACTGCCTGACGAGAATCCATCATGACGGATCGGGGTCGATAACAGTTTCGATGACGTCAATCACGGCCACTCCTGCTGTCTCCTCAGCGAAGTTGAACAACGCCTCCCATTTTTCATAAATGCATCTCCCGCTATTGAGGCCTGGATTTTTCCCCGTTCCGTTGGGTCCTCGAAAACGGTCTATTTTAAAGCGGCGAAGGGGGCCGCCTTCCATCAATTTTCGAGGAGCCCTCTCTAACCCTGTCGCCTGCCCCGTGTTCGCACTCCCAGGATTTGGCTCTTTGACACGCGGGGAGCACTTGTCAGTTGAAGGGGGCGAAGGGGGGGGGGGGCGGCAATGGACCATGAAGCACGGCTCAATTTGTCATCTGCGAGATAAGAGGTGCAGTGAAACTCGCGTGTTTCCACCCGCACGCTGCGCGCCGTGACAAACNAGCCCCTCCTCCTCCCTTCGTGGATAGCTCTGCCCACTTAGCTTCTATATTATTGACATCATTCTCAACCGCGCTGCCGTTTATGCAGGTGCATAATAGTGGCGTGGCGTGTTCGCAATCTATTGATTAATCTGTCGTTTAAACCTATAAAGAAGGATCGATAACAGGGTGCTCGCAACGAACACCATAATAATCGATTCTTCACCACAGCGTCAAATGGGGAGGTATCCAGCATCGATTATTAACGCCTCGCCACGGTGTCGGACATGGAATTTTAGACTGAAGTTGATAACTCTTCGTTCTTCGTAACCCCGTTCCAAAGTTAAGAAATGGACTCGAAAAATTCGATTTTTTACAAGAATATACCTAACATGCGCTACATTTTCCAAATTTTTTTCTGACTCTTGCTTGAGTCGTAGGAAGAACCTGTGAAATTTTCGGTTTTTTTTTTCAGATTTTCTTCATGAAAGGAAAACATGATAGGGGAAATTTGATAGCACAGCGTCAAATGGGGGGATATCGATAATTGATCATTCTCGCCTCGTCACTGTCGCCTCACATTCAATTTTGGACTGAAGTTTATATAATTCGTCGTTTTTCGTGCGAAAGAACGTAACTCCATATGAAGGTACGAAGTTGACGTCTTCGTCTGACGTCTCAGGACCAGTGACGTGGCGTGCTTTTCGATAAATACATTGCTCTACCATATAAATCTATGGAAAAGGATCGATAAACAGAATGTTCGCAACGAACACTTTAATCATAGATTCTTTACCATAGCTTTAAATGCGGGGAACTATCGATAATCGATCATTCACGCCTCGCCATACTGGTGCATAAGGGTCGCATTCACAGTCGTTTCTTAAACAGATCGTTTCCATGGAATGCCACATTCGGTTTACAGTGTGACTAAGGGCGGTTTAAGGGGACCCTCAAGAAGGTAACGTGAGGACAGAGTTCACTAACCCACACTCGAAAAAAACACATTGGATCTAGAGTCCAGACTCTTAAAAACATCGACATGAAAAAGGACTCTTGATTCAATCAGATTTAAGCTTAAATCAAGAACCAAGCCTCTTAATTTGAGCGGATTTCTTTTTGATTTAAGCTTAAATCTGATTGAATCAAGAGTCCTTTTTCTTGTCAATGTTTTCAAGAGTCTGGACTCTAGATCTAATGTGTTTATTTTCCGGTGCATGAACGAATTTTGACTTGCAAATACATTGTACTGAAAATAAATGGCGCGTAAATCACGACGCGCACATTGATTCGGTCACAATTTCTTTATTAAATTTGATAGTTGGTGAGCATTTACCTGATTGATGGGTGATGCAAGAGCTCCCGTCACTTGGAGATCCATTCCAGATTGTTGAGTTCTGTGAAAAAATAAAAGAAAAACATGAATTACTTCTTATTCAAATTCGTCCTTTTTCAAAGGAGATTCAGCAAAGTCTGAAAGTTCACGGGGCTGTTTTCCATATTCAGGGTGATCCAAAAATACCGCGCTCCCTTTACAGCCTCCAGAACTCTTCCCCATTTCAAGGATATCAATTTTCGGGGGGGGGGGTCCTAAAAGTCGCTTTCTTTAACCTACGAGCATTCATAACATTTCAAATCTCCATCTCAATTATTTCAAAAGTTACAGAGACGAGGGTGCTGGTGATGAGTGGCGTGGCGTGCTTTGCAATGTATCAATTGACCTGTCATTCTAACCTATGGAAAATGATCGATAAACAGCGTGCTTGCAACGAACACCTTAATAATCGATTATTTACCATGGCTTCGAACGGGAAAATTTCTACGATAGATTATTCTCTCTTCACCACTGCTAGTGATGGTGGACTTTCGGATCACACTGTATAGGGAAAGCTTCCACTCAAGATCTACTTATTTGACAACTAAGTCCTGAGAGTTAAAGAAAAACATTTTTAAGGACCATTTTTGATCGTCCCTCAACTATTTGACCACCTTCCGCAATATAGAACCATTATTTGGACTGCATTAAACAGGAAGGAACCAAGCCACATCAGCTATTGTCAAATTTAATTGGGCAATTTGATTTTTTACATGAAGACGGTTGTGCGGATTTTCGTGCAAATTTCAGTGAAAATTCTCCATGGTTCGAAGCAAATTGCTTAAAATTTTCAAAGAAATCCGAACAAACTTTCTCTCGTAAAAAATTTAATTGCCCAAATAAACTTGGCAATAGCTGACGTGGCTTGGTTCCTTTTTGTTAAACTCGGTCCATTTCTGCCTCATTTTAGAAACAGCATATATGCCATTGGTTTTCCTATGCAGAAAGGTGCTTTTATGGAAGAGCCAGAGATTGTGGTTCCTTACTGCAAAATGCAATCCAATTAGTGTGCGACACCAAAACGCATTGAAGCGAATTTTTTTTTTTGGGGGGGGGGGGAACGACAGAAATCCAGTGGTTAAACTTTTTTGTAGTGCGGTTATCTTTGACGGACACTCCAGGAGTAGTAGAGGTTGGCAGCATTGTTTTCCTTCCATTTAAATCCGTTAAAAATATCGATTTTAGGTGCGACAAGCTGCCTCACCATGAATCGATTGTTTTACGTGCATTCAAATGAAAGAAAATCAGTGTGGCAACCTCTAAGAATCGCCATTGGTAAAGGGACCTATCTCTCCCGAACTTTCCACACACACAGCTGGGCTGCACAGTGGAACAAGCTGATAGAAGAGGCCAGACATGAAATTTTTAGATAAACTTTCAAATTTTGATGTTTATTTTGTCATTAATTCCATTTGAGGGATTGTTTTTAAGAGAAAATTTTACGAAAAACGCAATGGAACTACTCTCTCTGAGATATTCACAACATGGAAATAATGAAATAATCTCCTGATTCAAACCCCTATTGCCAGATTTTCGCCTGAATATCGCGGAAAACACGCGATTTTTACATCGACACGTCGAGCATACGACTGTTCTTATGAACGTTAATAATTAGCGATATATAATGTACAAAAAATCAGGATTTTCCTTACACTTCGCGTGAAATTACATACCTACTCCGGAATTCGAATAGTTGCTCGCTCGATATCCGCTTAGAGAAAAGCAAATTTCATCTAAATAGCGCGGGATTGAAGCTATATTTCCGGCTGATTCGTTTCATCCAATGGAAAAAAGCGCTTTTCATCTCGGAGTCGCAGAAAATGAACAATTTTTCCGAGGATTTTGTAGAAAAAAAGAGAAAAAAATGAGAAACAGTGCAACAATGATTGAAATATCGCGGCAAATACGAGACATATCCAGCGGTTTTCTAATATTATTACTACGCGTTGTTCACCTCAATGGATATCGAAACAGTTGCGCAAATTTTCCAGCGGTTGATTGAGAACGTGAAAGATCACACGATTTTCACCTCAATACTGCGGAAAATACGAGATTTTTACACCGGCCCGAGCAACGTGATTGCACATTCGTAAACGTCCGTAATTTGATATAGGCGAAAACCTATGATTCTCCTTCAATTATGCGTGATACCACATACCTACTCCGGAGTTTGAATAGTTGCTCGCTCGATTTCCACTTGTCGGGAAGCGAATTTTATCATAAAATCGCAAGACAGCGCAATATTTTCATCGGATTAAGTGAAAGCAAAGAAATTCCACGCTTTTCATCTCGGTATCGCGAGAAAAGCATGAGTCTCCAGCGATATCCGTAAAAAAATGAGAAATTAATCTGTACTCACAGCAATACCCCGATTTATACATCGGTTTCGTAAAATCGTTGAACAATTACACTTTATTCACCTCAATATTGTGGCAAATACGCTAATTTTCCAGCGGTTGATAAAAAATCTACAGATCACTCAATTTTCACGTGAATACATTTCGCGGAAAATACGCGCTTTTTACATCGCTGCGGGCATAATATGCATAAACGTCAGTAGGTAATGTAACACGAGCAAAAAGCCAACATTTTCCTTCAATTTCATGTGATACCACATACCTACTCCGGAGATTGAATGGTTACTCGCTCTACTTCCGGTTGTTAAGAAGTGAGATATTGCGCGCATTTGAGTAAAATATCGCAAGAGGTACGTGATATTTTTATCGAATGCATTGAATCCTACAAAATTGTGCGAATTTTATTTCGGTATCCTGAGAAATGCGCGATTTGTTCACAGATTTTGTACAGAAAATAAAAATAAAAAATTAATTAATATGAGAAATTACACAATAATGACCGCAATATCGTGGCAAATACTTGTTTTTCCAGCGGTTTTGTAAAATCATTGAAAATTACCCGTTACTCACCTCTGTGTCGAGGCATAACGCGTATAACACGCAATTTTCACCTCATGCAAAAAATTGAATTATGCTAGTTTAATAACGACTTAGAGATAACTTATGAACGCCAGTCAATCCCGACTGGCAACAGGATAAGAATGTCCTTCATTTTTCCATGATACCACAACACATACCTACTCCGGGGTTTGAATCGTACCGCGTATTACGTCCACTATGACTATGACATGCTGATCCACTAAAAATTTAAACAAAAATGGCCATGAACATCATAAAAATCGCGACTTCATTACGGTTTGTTGAAATATGAGAAATGCTGCATTTTCCAACACTATGTTGGAATATGCGATATTTCAAGCAATATTGTAAAAAAGTATGACATTTCTCGATTTTTATCTCAGTATCGCGGATCATACATGCTATACCCGGCAGTTTTGTTAAAAAAAATTGCGAAATTACTGCGCAGTTTTTACATACAGGGTGATCCAAAAGTCCCTTCCACCCCCTCTAACTTTTTACCTAATTGAGGTAAAGATTTGAAACTTGGGGGATATTCCTAGGTCAAAGGGAGCTACTTTTTGGCCCCCCTAAAATTTTCAGGGGGGCCCCCCTTGGGGGGGCAACGGCCCCCAACTTTTAATTTTCAAATGGGAAGACCCCCTTTGTGATAGCTCGTTCGAAAGAGCATAAAAAAAGAAAACTTTTCGCGCAAACCCGAAGTCAATAACTCAAACCGTTTCAAAATGGCGGCCGGTTAAAGTTCAAAATGGCCGAAAATTCACACCGGTTATTTGTCGATGGATTTGCGCGAAAATCGGTATGTAGGGGTATTTTGACACGAGAAAAACGAATTTGACGTTAGATTTTCAAAAAAACCGAAATTTCCAAAATGGCCGCCGGTTAAAGTTCAAAATGACAAAAAATTGATTTTTTTAGAAATCTAAGTTCAAATTTGTTTATCTTATGCCAAAATACTCTCAAATTCCAAGTTTAAGGCAAATCCATCAGCAAAAAACCGAGGTGACAATTTTCGGCCATTTTAAACTTTAACCGGCGGCCATTTTGGAAATTTCGGTTTTTTTGAAAATCTAACGTCAAATTCGTTTTTCTCGTGTCAAAATACCCCTACATACCGATTTTCGCGCAAATCCATCGACAAATAACCGGTGTGAATTTTCGGCCATTTTGAACTTTAACCGGCCGCCATTTTGAAACGGTTTGAGTTATTGACTTCGGGTTTGCGCGAAAAGTTTTCTTTTTTTATGCTCTTTCGAACGAGTTATCACAAAGGGGGTCTTCCTATTTGAAAATTAAAAGTTGGGGGCCGTTGCCCCCTCAAGGGGGGCCCCCCTGAAAATTTTAGGGGGGCCAAAAAGTAGCTCCCTTTGACCTAGGAATATCCCCCAAGTTTCAAATCTTTACCTCAATTAGGTAAAAAGTTAGAGGGGGTGGAAGGGACTTTTGGATCACCCTGTATAAGTCAAAAGGAGTACACGACTTTTTCAGCGATGTTGAAAAACTTAAAACTAAAAACTTTCCGCCCCAATACCACGGAAAACCTGGAAAACACGCAATTTTAATATCGACGCGAGCATACTATAAATACAAATATATACGTTATTAATTTGAGATGGGCGAAAACCTATGATTTTCCTTCAATCCTGCGTGATACCACATACCTACTCCGGAGTTCGAAGAGTTGCTTGCTTGATTTCCGCTCGTTAAATCGAGAGAAATTAGGCGAATTTCATCTGAATATCGCGGAAATTGCACGGTTTTACCGACTGAGGGTGTAGATCCGAGAAATTGCGCGCTTTTTATTTCAGTATTGCAGCAAATGTGTCATTTTTCCAGCGATTTTGCAACAAATGAGAGCCGAATGGCCGCAATATACGAGAATTGTTCAGTGGTATTATAAAATCATTAATTATTACGTGGCATTCACCTTTACACTACGGTCCTTGCGCAAACCTAGCAGTTGAAGAAGAACACGGGGGATCACTCAATTTTCACATGAAATATCGCCGAAAATACGCGACTTTTACATGAACACGAGCATACCATTCATGCAAATATAAACGTCAATAATTTGAGATACGCAAAA